CTGAGAGACATAGTCCCTCCAGCTTGTCCTGGGTCTTCCCGGGGCCTCCTCCCAGTGGGACGTGCCTGGAACACCTCACCAGGGAGGCGTCCAGGAGGCATCCTTACCAGACACCTCTCACCTCAACTGGCTCCTCTCGACGTGGAGGAGCAGCGGCTCTACTCTGAGTCCCTCCCGAATGACCGAGCTTCTCACCCTATCTCTAAGGGAGAGCCCAGCCACCCTGCGGAGGAAACCCATTTCGGCCGCTTGTATCCGGGACCTCGTTCTTTCGGTCATGACCCAAAGCTCATGACCATAGATGAGGTTGGGAACGTAGATCGACCGGTAAATCGAGAGCTTCGCTTTTTGACTCAGCTCTCTCTTCACCACGACGGACCGGTACAGCGCCCGCTTCACAGCAGACGCTGCGCCAATCTGCCTGTCGATCTCCCGCTCCCTTCTTCCCTCATTCGTGAACAAGATCCCCAGATACTTAAACTCCTCCACTTGAGGCAGGACGAACCCCCTTACCCGGAGAAGGCACTCTACCCTTTTCCGGCTCAAGACCATGGCCTCGGATTTGGAGGCACTGAGCCTCATCCCAGCCGCTTCACACTTGGCCGCGAACCGCTCCAGTGAGAGCCGCAGATCACGTTCCGATGAAGCCAAAAGGACCACATCATCCGCAAAAAGCAGAGATGCGATCCTAAGGCCACCAAAACGGATCCCATAAACACCTCGGCTGCGCCTAGAAATTCTGTCCATGAAGGTAATGAACAGAATCGGTGACAAAGGGCAGCCTTGGTGGAGTCCAACTCTCACCAGAAACGAGCCCGACTTACTGCCGGCAATGCGGACCAGACTCTGACACAGGTCGTACAAGGACCTGACAGCCCGTATCAAAGGGCCCGGTACCCCATACTCCCAGAGAACCCCCACAAGGCCCCCCTGGGGACACGGTCGAACGCCTTCTCCAAGTCCACAAAACACATGTAGACTGGTTGGGCGAACTCCCATGCCCCCTCCAGGACCCTGCTGAGGGTGTAGAGCTGGTCCAGTGTTCCACGACAAGGATGCAAACCACACTGCTCTTCCTGAATCCGAGGTTCGACTATCCGACGGACCCTCCTCTCCAGGACCCCTGAATAGACCTTACCAGGGAGGCTTAAGAGTGTGACCCTCTGTAATTGGAGCACACCCTCCGGTCCCCCAGGGGGGGCCACCACCCACCCGGGGACACCAGGTCCCCCAGGGGGGGCCACTGCCCCGGTCCCGGGGAACTGCCCCCGATGTCCCTACAAAATCCAGCACAACCCTACAACATGCAGAGCCTTGAGGAACTCCAGGTGAATCTCATCCACTTCCTGGGTCTCGCCACCGACATCGTGTATTTTTAGGGAATTAAAATCCAAACATCAGATTTTAACCAACATTTATAATTAAATTATTGGGTTAAATTTACTAAATCAGTTTCTGCAGCAGCCAGTCCTCCAGGTCCGAGTGTCCCAAGTCCAACACGCCGTCGTTCCTCCAGCTCCACCCATGTCCTGGGACACATGACGCACTTTTCAGATTTTTATTTGTAAAATGGGTTTGAAGCTATCTTCCTCACCCAGCATTGTGTGTAACGGTGTGTGTGTGTGTGTGTGTTTCTGGGAGCAGCAGGAGCAGTTCGGCCTCTACGCTCTCTACAGTAAGAACAAACCCAAATCTGACGCGCTGCTAGCGAACCACGGCCACGCCTTCTTCAGGGTGAGTACTGCAGCTTCTGTCTGACCTCTGACCTCGTGCAGCTCCCTGACCTCTGACCCCTGCCTGCAGAGGAAGCAGCTGGAGCTGGGCGATAAGATGGACCTGTCGTCCTACCTGCTGAAGCCCATCCAGAGGATGAGTAAATACGCCCTGCTGCTCTCTGACCTCACCAAGGAGGTGGGCGTGGCTCAGGAGGCGGAGCTTACCGCGCTGCAGGACGCCACCGACATGGTCAAGTTCCAGCTTCGCCATGGCAACGACCTGCTGGCCATGGACGCCATCAGGGAATGCGATGTGAGTCGAGGTGTTTCTGCAGGGTGACAGATGACCTTTGACCCTCAGGACCTGCAGCAGGAGTGATGTCTGCAGAACTCTGACCAGATGAATCCGATTTCATCGTTTGTTCTGATGACAAAAACACAATCCAGTTTATAGCAGCGTTTGTGGAAATCGTTCACCGACCGATTCTCCTCTGACCTTGAACTCATATCGATGTTCAAAACAGAGACCGCAGGATTTAAATCTGTTTCCATGGTAACAGCTTTTCTCAACAAGTCTCTATTTCTATTGGCTGCATGACTTTACGTCAGGGCGCAGTTTGGCTGCATCATGTCCCCACTGAGCGGATTGTGGTGCAGAGTTGGAAGCAAAACTGAACAAAAGTTTAATTTAATAATAATATTTATTAATGTGCATCAAACTAGCTGAGTTTAACTATTAATAATTTTAAAAAACAGATCATTGATGTGATTTTTGGAAAATTGCTAATGCTTTTTACCATGAGGATTGGACACTCTGCTCAGTAAAATGTAATGAACCGCCTCAGCTTACGTCATCCCTCTAATCCTGATGGGAAGCTTAATGAATAAGAACAAAGGCAGATGCATTAAATCAGAATAATTCTTTGTTTTAGGTCACTGACCTCTGTGTTGTGAGTCAGGGAAAATATGTTTTTTATTTAATTAGCAGTTTAGTAACTTCCTCTTTTCTCAGCGGTCCTGCTGTGTGTTGTTTCCACCAGTAGATGGCAGCGCTGAGCCCCGTGTGAGCTGGTTCTGCTCTCCCTGCAGGTGAACCTGAAGGAGCAGGGTCAGCTGATCCGGCAGGACGAGTTCACGGTCTGGAGCGGCAGGAGGAAATGCCAGCGCCATATCTTCCTGTTCGAGGATCTGCTTCTGTTCAGCAAGCCCAAGAAGATGGAGGGCGGGCTGGACGTCTTCATCTACAAGCACTCCTTCAAGGTGAACCGCGCCGCGCCGGCCGCGTTCTGACGGACTTCCTGTGAGCTCCGGTTCTGATTGGACTCATCCTGTTTCAGACAGCAGACGTGGGCCTGACCGAGTCCAGCGGGGACGACGGGCTCCGCTTCGAGATCTGGTTCCGTAGGAGAACCGCCAAGAACCAGACCTTCGTCCTGCAGGCCGCCTCGGCCGACGCCAAGCACGCCTGGACCGCCGACGTCGCCCGCATCCTGTGGAGCCAGGCGGCCCGCAACAAAGGTGGAGGCTGCCGCCACCGTGCAGAGACACACAGAGGCATGCCACCGCCAGGCAGTTAACGAAATGGTGTTAACCCTGTGTGTGTGTGTGTGTGTGTGTGTGTGTGTGTGTGTGTGTTCCTGTGTGTTCAGAGTTGCGTCTGAAGGAGATGGTGTCGATGGGAGTGGGGAACAAACCGTTCCTGGACATCCAGCCGAGTGACGCTGCCATCAGCGACCGGGCCGTCCATTACATCATGAAGCCCAGAGGTACGGCCAGGTTCCCATGGCAACAGCTAGCTGAGATCAGAATGTCTGACCCATTCGGTTCTGCTCGGTCCAGGCGCCAGAACCAGGGCATCCATCGCTGTGGTGACCTTTGACCACGCCCACCCGTTCAGCAGGGCGGCGGCCCCGGAGGCGGCAGCATCAGGACCGTCGTCCTGCAGCCTGCTGGGACCACTCAACCTGCACATGTTCAGGTAGGAGTCGCACCTGGAGCACCTGAAGCCCCGCCCTCTCTCCTGCTCACCTGTCCTTCCTCCTGCAGCCCCTCCGCCCTCCCGGCCGACGCCTCCTTCAGCTCCTCCTGCATTGAGGAAGACGAGCAGGAGCAGGAGACCAACAGCCAGCCCTCCATGAGTATGAGCTCTGACCGCTGTAGCTCCGCCCCCTGGAGCTCACCTGGTCAGGTGAGTGAGTAACCCTGTCTCGGTGTGTCTGCAGCCACCGAGAGCTCCGGCTCCTCCTCCCACTGCCTCTCCGGCTCCACCGGCTCCGACAGCGGCTGCGCCTCCTCCCACCTGCAGGACGAGCCCCGCCCCTACTCCGGAAAACGCCACGGCGACGGCGCCTTCGTCTTGGCTGTAAGTCAGCTCACTTCTGATTGGTCAGGGCGTGATGATGTCATCAGCTGCTGAGGTCACATGATCTCTGCTCCTCCTCAGGAAGCCGCCACCGTCGTCTGATGCCACTTCACAGGTTAGTACTCTGCTTTTATTTTGAAGGCTGGAAGAGGACGTTGTTGCTATGGTTACTGATCTGTAATCTCTGTGTGCAGGTTCTGACGCTTCCAGGAGGAACGTTGGTTCTACTTCCTGTAAATATTCCTGTTCAGTCCGGTCAGCAGGTTCCTCCAGAACCGGTCCGGTGGTCCAGAACCGCCCTGGTGGTCCAACTATACGTGTGTAAATATTCCTCAGCTGAGCGTTGCTGGCTCTTTTCTAACCTCGTTAATAAACACGTTTGATGAAAAGCTCAGCAGCGTTTGTTCTGACCCGATCTGGTTCTACCAGACCTCAGTGGTACCGGGATCGGGTACGTCCAGGTGTTTTTATCCAGAAAATCGTCCTCAGAACCATCCGATCCAGAACCAGGGATCAGCCGGTTCTGGAACCCGGACCTCAGATGACCCCGATGAAACTTTACGCCTTCCGTTCTGAGCGGCTCTGAAACAACCAGGTCGGGTTTCAGGTTCTGCTTCAGACTCTGAGGACGACCTCTGACCTCCACTGTCTGGCTGAACAGAACTACATTTGTTCTGTTCTCCCAAACAGAACCAGGCAGAACTTTCCATTCGGACCAGGATTTCTGTTCACTTCGATCCGATCAGGCCCAGTTCTTCATCATCATCATCCTCTGACACAAGGAGACAAACTCCAATATAAAACAAGTTTATTTAGAAAATCCTTCATGTTACAATACAGTTAGAGGCTTTTATTCTGAAAGTCAGGTAGAAAAATAAACTCGAGGAACTCTGGAGACAGCCGGGTTCTCCGGATCAGTTGCATAGCCGGTTCCGGTTGGGTTCTGCTGACCTCAGACCAGCTGACGGATCAGAACCTCCTCATGTAAAACTGATTCTCCACAGGAAGCTGAAACATTTCCTGTTTCACTGAAAACTGCAGCACTTCCTGTCCTGAGACAACTGTTAGAGCAGATAACTTCAAAATAAAAGCATGAAAACAAACCGAAGCTGCGTTGAAATGAAACCATCAGTCATCCTGGTTGGAGACGTCAGACCGAAATGTGCCTACTTCATGCTCACAGCTGCCATTTTTAAGTCAAGCATGGCCACCCTGCTGACCCCGAGGTGACCTTCCTGGAGACGGCTTTAAAGGGACAGTTCACACGTTTGAGCGCGCTCAGTTTGAACAATCAGAACAGAAACGTCTGCAATCAGGAACACAGGGAGCTGGATGAAGCTCCTCAGCCTAGTCAAAGGCCAGATACTGAGCTCTTGCAGATGCTGTGGGGAGACAGGAAGTGATGAGGGGACAGCGTCCCACAGATGGAGACAAGAAGCTTCTCCTGAAGGGATTTCATCCAGACAGAGTAGATGTTGGGGTGTGCTAACTTTCCCCTGAGTTAGAGAAAACTTTGGTTGTCCTTCTGATTAGTTCCTGTTTATTTGGATAAAATCACTTTAAATTCTGGAGATAAATATGAAAGATTATGTGAACATCTAGTAAAGAGCTGATCAAGGGGTGTACTAACTTTTCCTTGTGAACATGCTCTTCTTAGAGCGAGGCGCTGGAGGAGGGAAGTAATGATTTCAGCAGAAACTGAGCGCGCTCAGATGACCAATCAGGAAAAACACGGACTGTCCCTTTAAGTGTGTCTGTACATGTAAGGTCCGCCCCTATATAAGCCCCGCCTCCATCCTACAGAAATAAAAACATTGCCGATTGTTTTCACGTTTCAAGGCAGCCGCCATCATAACCTGGATGGAGGAGGAGCCACAGTGGGTCAGGAGGCTCCGCCTACTGCAGTGAGCGTCTGCAGGTGATTGGTGGGCCGCTGGAGGCTCCGCCTACAGCAGCGAACACCTGAACACGCTCTTCTTGGAGAGCGGCTCTGAGATCTTCACTTGGCCACCTCCACCTGCCGGACCCCCGTCGTTCTGCAGAGAAAACAAGGAATGTCACGGAGAACTGGAAACACCTGGAAACACCTGGAAGTTCGGGTCGACTCACCATCTTCCTGTTGAGGCGGCTCATGATGTCTCTGGCGAGGGTCAGGAAGCCCTGAGGAGACGAACACAACATTACCCCCGGGTTCTACTGCTACCGGGTTCTACTGCTGCCGGGTTCTACTGCTGCCGGGTTCTACTGCTACCGGGTTCTACTGCTGCCGGGTTCTACTGCGGACCGGGTTCTACTGAGGACCGGCTTCTACAGCAGCCCGGGTTCTGGTCGGGTCCGGACTCGCCTCCTCCACATTGATGCTGGACTTGGCGCTGGTTTCCAGGAACTTGATCCCGTAGTCGATGGCGAGCTGAAGGACAACAGAACCACACGTTAAGAACATCACCGGACCCGTTGGGTTCTGATCCATCTGCTTCCTGTCATGTGATCAGGATCTCCGCCCACCTTCTCTCCTCTCTCCTTGGAGACCTGCCTCTTGTCGTTCATGTCGCACTTGTTTCCCAGGATCATCTTCTCCACGTCTGCCGACGCGTGCTGCAACACAAACATGGCCGCTGACCCGTCAGGTGGTCGATGACATCATCAGCGCTGGGTCACATGGTGGGGCGGGGCCTACCTCCTCGATGTTGCGTATCCAGTTCCGGATGTTGTCGAAGGATTTCTCGTTGGTGATGTCGTACACCAGCATGATGCCCTGCAGCGACAAACAGGAAGTGACACGTCTGCACTGACCAGTGGAAAGGGGAGGGGGCGTGGCCTACCATGGCGCCTCGGTAGTAGGCTGTGGTGATGGTCCGGAAGCGTTCCTGACCCGCCGTGTCCCTGTGGACAGAACCCGACCCGGGTTCACGGGATTAATACGGGTTAGTGATTCCGAACAGATTCTAGTTCACTTAACTGATCCACAAACAACGAATCAGTTCAGATCCAGAACCAGTTACTCCAACTGGACCTGTATTAAGTGATCCAGAACCAGAAAAAGTTCTCCAAGCCCGGTTCCAGACCAGCTCTCACCAGATCTGCAGTTTGATCTTCTTCCCATCCAGCTCCACGGTCCGAATTTTAAAATCGATTCCTGAAACAGAGGCGGACACTATCAGTCACGTGTGTCAAACTGAAGGTCCACGGGCCAAATCGGGCCCGCTGTAACCGACCTGTGGCCCTTCAGACCCCAAAGGGACAGAATTAGAACTTCATCATAACAGCTGTGTGGTTAGATATTTGATGTTTTATCACCAGATCACATCTGTTGAAAAGATGTCAAACATCTGGTCTGATGGAAAGGGAATCGCACAGAGACAGAGATCAGGAACAGCTCCGCACCGCCCGCCTGGCAGCTGGAGGTGCAGAAAACAAACCTCCCTCGGTTATTTTTAAAACACAAACGTGACCAAACATCACTTCCTGCCTCAGACGAGGAACTTCCTGTTCCTGCAGGTCCCATGACTGAAACCAGAACCGACAGCAGAACCTGTTCTGTTCATCATCTGGGTCGCAAAGAGGAAAATGGTTCTGCAGAGACCCACCAGAACCGGTCAAACCCACTGCAGGTCCGGTTCTGAGCTCGTCTCAGCTTCTGGTTCTGGACGGTTTCTAACCCGGTGATGTCATGGTCCAGCTTCCTGTCACCTGACCAGCAGAAACCAGCTGACCCAACCAGTTTTGATCCAGAACCGGTTTGATCTCAGCTGGGTTCTTGCTCCGCCTCTGAACAGGAAGTGAAACTGAGCCGCTTCCTGTCTGCATCTCTTAGCAAGGCTGAATGTGGTTCTGATCCGATTCTGTTCTGCATCAAGGTTCTGACCTGATTCAGGGTTTCCTACAGAACTGGTTCTGGTCTTTGGTCAATGTTTGTGTTCAGAACCAACCGGGCCCGGATCAGCTCCTAGTTGTTGAACCCGGTTCTGCTGAACCAGAACCCTGTGGGAAAAGTATTCATGCCCTCTGATTAACACCACTAGACCGGTTCTGACCCGCTGGACCGGTTCTAACCTGCTGCACTCCAGACTTTGACTAGGCCACTCTGAAACCTTCATTTTGATGCTGGTGGGTTCTGGATCAATGTTCTGGACCAGAACCCAGATGTTCTGGACCTTCAGCTTCAGGGAGGTTCTGATCCGGTTCCATCGGGTCCAGAAGTCCACATCACTATACCACCCTGATGGATTGCAGGTTCTGTTGGTTCTGCTCCAGATAGAACGGCACCAGAACCACCAGGACGGTTCTGGTCGATGTGAAACGGGTCTTTGTGTTTTTCTGGGCCAGAACTGGTTCTGGTCCTGGATCCCTGATGACCTTTGACCATAGTAGCATCAGTGAGCCCTGCAGAACTCCAAATGTTCTGGTTCTTCTGGACCTCCTGGATGAGTTTCTGTCAGCTTCCTTGGTGCTGCCAGTCTGGTTCTGGTTCTGGTTGGTTTGGGTCAGTTTCTATTTCTTCTGGTTGTTTTTGTCTCTTTTTACATTTTTAATTTGAAGTACCTTGAGAACCCAGTGACGGGCCCACCGGGCCTCCCAGAACCAGAACCTTCACATGATGATTCCTTTCAGCCATGATGAACTGAACCGGTTCAGGAGAACCGTTCCAGAACCGGTTCAGTTCATTTGTCTGATCAGAACATCCTGATGGTGATGAAGCTGAGAATCATCATCATCAACAGGACTGGTGGGACGCAGGTAGGCTGACGTCACAGAGCTGTCCCGGTACCAGAGGCGGGTGAGCATCTGGACCGGACCGGGCCGGACTCACCGATGGTGGAGATGAAGGTGGTGTTGAACGCGTCCTCGCTGAAGCGGAACAGCAGGCAGGTTTTGCCCACGCCGCTGTCTCCGATCAGCAGCAGTTTGAACAGGTAGTCGTAGCTCTTCGCCATGTTCGGGTTCGGTTCGGCTCCGGTCCGGATGGGCCCGGCTCTGCTCCGCGAACCTCTGCTGGAGCCGCTCAGATGCACCGACGGAGAAGCAGGAAACGGTTCGGCATCAAGTGTTCCGACAGCACACCGGATCCACTTCCGGTTCTCTCCTTTCACAATAAAACAGTCTCATTTGCTGAGCTGTGCTGGCTCCGACCCGCCTGGAAGTGGACCAGAACCGACCGGCTGTCAAAGTTCAAATAATACTAATAATAACCTCTGGTGTTCCTCAAGGAAACGAGGATAAACTGCAGATAAAAATTCAGTTTTCATCTCTGACTTTATTATCACCCAGAAATCCGTCAGTTCTGATCCAAAGCAAATGATTGTCGGGTTCAGAACCAAGAAGAACCAGAACCAAGAGTCACTGTTATATTCACATTTTAATTTTCCTTTAATGGAATTAAGTCCCTGCTGGCTCCTCTGAACTGGAACTTTTATTTTGAAATAGGGTTTCTGCTGTTTCCGGTGAATGTTCGTCAGCATGTACAGGAAACGGGGGCCGGGTCAGATGGGGTCACGTGGACCTCAGAGCTCCATGTGAAGCTTCAGATTCATTAAAATAAAATAAACTGGAGTTCCTCAGGACAGGAAAAACATTTTATCAGACAGCAGGAGAAAGAAATAAAGTAATATTTACCAAAAGTTTTATGAATCTTATTATTATATGATTTTTTTATCCGGATCTTTTTTTTTGTTCTGTCGTAAATCAAGTTTGGCAGCACAATAATAATAAGAAAAATAATTTATCTATTCTATAATACACATTAATCATTAAAATATTTACTTTGATATTTAAATGAAATTGGTTGTTAATATTTCCTTCAAATAGAAACTTTGTTCAACTGAAAACACTAACACCTCAGCACAGGGCTAATAATAAAGCTGAATGTATTCTGCTGAATTTTTTTGTTTATTGAAGAAACACTGAAGAGTCAACTCTTTCTCAATTCAATCAAAATTAAATTTGAAAAATTTAATTAAGATACAAACAAGTTAAATCAGATACAGGACAAAATGATTGTCCACGCAAAGATATCCGACGATGAGCACCAAAAAGTCCAACTGCTTCCAAAAACAACTGAGATTTCTCAAAATATTCTAAGTTTATGTATGATTTTATTTTATTTTTTTAAATGCTGCAGGCCGGTGTCTGACTTCCGCTGGTTGAAACGGCGCCCCCTGGTGGTCGCTTCCTCTCCGCTGAAGACTCGACCCGAGCCAGGAGATGTACATTAACCCGTTTAATCCCAAATTTTTTCCTGCAAAATAAGTGCATACATTTCAACCCTTGGACCTCCCTAACACATGATATTTAAGAATTATTACATCTTATGTTGGTTATGTCAGTGAAAATACAGGTTTTATGTTGGCAACAGTCTAAATTACACAAATATGGCCTATTTATACATATACAAAAATAAGAAAAATCATTATATTCATAGCCTATTATAACAAAGAATGGTTACAAGAGTGTTTAGAAATATTTTAGAAACATAAAAATTCAATGACACATCCTGCAGATGTCATTGTCTCAATGTGCCAACTGCCAAGCGACCTTTGACCTCATTTGGTCATTTCATCAATGAGGCAAAATCAGATGAAAATGTTAGTTTGAACAAATCTCCATCTGAGAGGACATTGTCCCTGTTCCACCAGACATTTTCCTTGTCCTAAACTAGATTCAGGCGCTGCGTCATCTTGTAGTCGTCATTCAGTGCAAAGGTCACATTTTGTAGAAAGGTTTGCTATTTGGGGGGCGGCATAAAGGGGAGTTCAACTGTGGGATGTAGAAGACATAATTTTGAGGTTCCTTCAGGTCTAGATGATCTAAAAATCTGATAGTTTTAAGCTGTATGGGAACAGCAATTCATATAGAATAAACAACAAAGCTATGAACACATAGCATAGCGCTGTCTATGTGTTATACTAGCAGCAACAATTGTTGCAGGTGGGATTAAATGGGTTAATAAGTGGGGTAGACCAGACGGCCGGAGGAGGCCCAGGCTGACCTCTGACCTCACACTTCTTCTGCAACCTTCTACTCTCAATTCTCATATTTCCATATGATCCATAACAATGATCATCAAAATTATTTTATTTGTAATAATAGTTGTGTTCTTTCATTCATTTTTTGCTTTTGATGAAACTACTTTTTTATCGAATTAGTTTGATTAATAAAACTTGTGTTTTTGTGTGTTCTACTGTTTGTGATTTCTCATTGTTAAAAAATTAAGACTTAAAAACAATCAGTAAGTAGAGCAGAATTAATAATCTGTCATATTTATATATTTGATATTTTCGATTATTGGTATTTTTATTAAGATTAATTGATTAAATAATTAGATTTTCTTCTTTTGTTCGCTGAATTCATTGTTAATAAAGTTGGACGGGAAAATGCTTTTTTTTTCTTTTTTTTTCTTTTTTACTTGAGCGGAAGTGACGTGTTAACTCGGTTGCTAAGCTGCAGCAGAGATCAAACAGCCTGTCAACAGGCAGAAGTGTGGACTCGGAACCTCCTGGAGCCGGTTTAACCCGTACAGCGGTGCCGCTGCGTCCCGCAGACCCGAACCGGGAAGGAGGACTCGTCAGAACCGGTCCAGTTTGCTCCGGTTCGACCTGCTAGCTAGCAGTTGCTAACCAGGTGGTTACCATCAGGTAGGTTTACCTGCTGGCTTCCGTTAGAGGAGCCAGCCACTGGCGCACCTGGAGTAAACCGACCAATCACGGTCCAACAGAACCGTTCGGTGATGATAGGTTCCGGTGGGGCGGAGAACCAGGTCCAGACAGAGTGGGAGCAAACTGGGTCAGAACCTTCCTGACCCGGTTCCTGCAGTACAGCTCTGGTTCTAAGCAGGGCCGAACCAGCTGCCTGAGGAGAAATGGGCTCACTGGAAGAATCAGAACCAGTCCTAGTGTGTTAATACGATCTGGACCCGAAACATGAACATCTCTTATCTGTGAATAACTTCTGGATCCGGTTCAGGTATCCAAACTAAACCCAGACATATACCCTGGTTCCAGTTCTGACCTGGTGCCCTGGTTCTGTCTTTGACCTGGTTATCTGGTTCTGTTCCAACCTTATTCTGTTCTGATCCGGTTCTGTTCTAACTTCCTGCAGGAGGAAGAGGCTCCATGGAGAGGTCCTCATGATTTAACTCCAGAACCAGCCCAGTTTGTCCCAATATGGCTGCTGCCAGCAGCACCAAGATCTCATGGCGCCTGCGTGAGTAGAACCCAGAGGAGAGTTGCGATGCGACCCGGTCAGGATGGGTTCTGGTTCTGAAGCGTGTCATCCTGTTTGTCCTCAGAGGAGTTCGAGGCCCACTCCAGAACCGTGTCCTGCCTGTCTCTGGGGAAGAACTCGGGCCGTCTGCTGGCCACGGGGGGTGAGGACTGCCGGGTGAACATCTGGGCCGTCAGCAAGGCCAACTGCGTCATGGTGAGACTCAGCACCTCCGGTACCAGAACCCAGCAGGTCCGGTCCGCTCACCAATTGGCTGAGGGCCATCTGAGTCCAGATATCAGAACCTGATTACTGATCTGAACTGGGAGGTCCGGTCCAGGATCTGCTGTTAACTTTACAAACGGCTCCCTGAGAGAACCATCTTGGCTCTGAGTTACTGCTACCTCTGACCCGTTCTCTGTTCTGACCCATTTCTCTCTCAGAGCTTGACGGGTCATAAGAACCCGGTGGAGTGCGTCCAGTTCAGCGCGTCAGAGGAGCAGGTTGCAGCTGGTTCCCAGTCTGGATCCATTCGAGTCTGGGACCTGGAGGCCGCCAAGAGTAAAGCTACTTCCTGTCCTCTGACCTGCTACTTCCTGTCCTCTGACCTGCTACTTCCTGTCCTCTGACCTGCTACTTCCTGTCCTCTGACCTGCTACTTCCTGTTCTCAGTCCTGCGGACTCTGATGGGACACAAAGCGAATGTCACCAGTCTGGGCTTCCACCCGTTTGGAAACTTCCTGGCCTCCAGCTCTGTGGACACCAACATCAAGGTGTGTGTTTCTGTTTGTGTGTGTGTGTGTGTGTGTGTGTGTGTGTAATAAGTGTTGATGTGTTTTCCAGCTCTGGGACGTCCGGAGGAAAGGATACGTGTTTCGCTACAAGGTCAGATCTTCAGATCCAGATCAGTAGTTCTCTGTGGTCCAAGGAGTTGTGTGTGACCTGATCCAGAACCACCTGATCCAGAACCACCTGATCCAGAACCACCTGCAGTGGAAGCCTGGTTCTGGCTCTGAATTACATGTTGCTTCACTTTATGAAGCGACATGGAACATTTTGCTTCGCTGTCTTTCCATAACTTTTTTTGTAACATTCTGAATTTACAAAAAAGAAACGCATCATTATCAGAGTTTCCCCCAGTAAACGGCCCGGCGGACGCTCCGCTGTGTTTTTGTGTTAAAAGATTTTAAGTTGACAGGAAATGTAAAAATATTACATTTCCTGTAATATTTCAATATTTAAACCCACAACTAGTCTTAAAAACAACAAATCAGAAAATATAATTAAAATGAATATTACATATTTCCACTTCTTTAATCAAGTCAGCGGCTCCATCGGGCCCCCGGGGCTTCAGGGGCCATAAATGCTAATATTTTAACCCGGACCACAGATAAAATAAATGTACCATTTATTTATTGAGGTTATCAATGCTGCTAAATTTGATTTAATGATTTCAGCATAAATTAAAAGATTTAAATTGGTTAACATTTAAATGTAAGATTTTAAGGAGCTGACAAGTTTACTTTGTAAAAGTTCAAAGAACAATATTCATAGTTAGATTGTTTTGTTACCATAGCAACAATCTGATGCTGCGAGTTTAATCTTTGAGTTTGAGCTGTTTGTTCACAAATACAAATTAGTAAACTGGATTATAACTGATTGTTTTTAGTTTGGCCAGTTAAACTCCTCCTCCTCTCCCAGATTAAATCCAACACAGAAGCTGTTAGAGGTGCTGATGGGGCCCCTCAGTCAGATTCTGCCCCAGGCCTTATCAGCCTTGGACCGGCCCTGCAGGATGAGTTAAATCTGCTGCACTGAGCAGAGATGAGCAACAAACGGCATATTTAATATAATGCTGCTAATGTGGCTTTAGTAGCTCTGACATTTCTGTCTGTTGAGTTTTTAATAAAAGTCACAGAAACTGTTTTGGTCGGTCCAGTTTATGGGACGAGTTTCTCAGATCTCCTCGCAGTCGCACGCATTAACTCTTGCTACGTGGACGAAGCATCAGATATGGTTTGATGCATCGTGTAACCGGAAAAATAATAATAAAACAATATAAAACCAGCGTGATGCGTGACGAGGAGAGGTGAAAGCTCCTCACCTGAACCTGCATGATGAGGTTAGCGCTGGTTCGTTAGCCGCTAACGCTCCGACAACCAGGAACACAGACATGAACTTTACAGGGCAGACAGCGCCACACGCTGGGCAGCGCCCCATATAATTCTGTTCACAAAGATAAATCATTCTCATCGCTCCTCAACGCGCAAATGGCTGCAAACAGACACGCAACTACAAGTTACTCCTGCGGTCCACATAGAGCTGCAACCAGAGCTAACGCGGTTCGTTTTAAACTCTCACCTTGATGCGGAGTTCTCCGAAGAAAAATAACTACCCACACTGTGCTGATGTAAATATCCATACGCTGCGGCCGCCTCGGACACCCTGATTATATTTTAAAAGTTTATTGGGTCAGCGTTATTATACTGACTGAATAAATGCATTATGAGACATATTTATGAGGTAATTTTATTTCTATAGCACATTTTCAGCAACAAGGCAATTCAAAGTGCTTTACATGAGTTAAAAGGAAATACAAACAAAATAAAGTAAAGAAAGAAGAAGAGAATCTAATGCTGATCTAAAGTCTGTAAACTCGGAGCTCCTGTTCAGGGTTGCCAAGTTTCCTCTGGTCTAATTCCATCTCTGGGTTGGGAGAACAGAGTCTAAAAAGTAATTAATGTTGATCCACAAGTTTCCTCTGGGCTTCTGGTCTCTGATCTAAATAGTGAGTATCGACAGTTCCTGATGGAATAAGCTGAAGAGCGACTGATCTAATTCCTTTTCTGGGTTGAAGTCTAAGCTGGAGAGGTCTGTAAACCATATTTGCCCTTAAACCAACTAAACAACAGTTTAGGGGGAGCTGTGGTGGCGCAGGGGCAAAGCATGACCCACATGTTGAGGCCCTGGTCCTCATGGTCACAGGTTCGATTCCCGGCCTGGTGGCGTTTACCGCATGCCTTCCCCCTCTCTCATTACCCACCTTCCTGTTGAACTACTTTCAGATAAAGGCCACTAGAGCCAACATAACATTTAAATTTAGATCCAAAAATTATACATGACCTTTAAAATATATTTTATAAATATATACTTCAGTTTTAAAATAAATGTTATGCAGAAGAAGATGGATGAAAAACAGTTTTCAACTAAATAAGTAGATCTAAAACAATATTTATAGTGTTTCTAGTCATTCTGTCATGAAAAACAATTTATAACTTAAATTATTTAGGGCCACGGTGGAAGATCCAAAGAGCCGATTTTGGCCCCAGAGCCACAGGTTGGCACCCCTGGACTAAACACACCTTATTAGACTTTAATTCAGTCAGAACCGGGGGGTTCTGGATGGGTTCTGGAATCGGTGGATCAGGAAAGCTGCTGTGTCAGGTTCTGGATCGGATCGTCTGGATCAGAGAAAGAGTTCTGATAGAACCTGCTGTAGACTCTGGATCAGAACAGTTAGAGGTTCTGCGTTCCAGAAGCGGGTTCTGTCTGATATCGGCTCGGTTCTACAGGGTCACACAGAGGCTGTGAGGAGTTTGGCCTTCAGTCCAGACGGGAAGTGGTTAGCCTCGGCTAGCGACGACTGCACCGTGAAGGTAAACATCGACCCAGAACCCATCAGAACCATGCTGCTGTCTGAGGAGCTGACCCAGTCCCTCAGAATCCAGCAGAACTCTGACCGGGTTCTGATTTCTGTAGCTGTTTCAGTAACTTCAGACAGAACTGGGTTGGTTCCGCTCAGCTGGTTCTGGTTCTGTCTCTGCAGCTGTGGGACCTGTTCCAGGGGAAAACCATCACCGAGTTCAAGTCGCACTCGGCGGCCGTCAGCGCAGTCCAGTTCCATCCTAACGAGTACCTGCTTGCGTCCGGCAGCGCCGACAGGTCCGGTTCCGCTCTGCCTCCAGAACATCTGTCAGAACCAGAGAGCTGTCTCCATGGAGACCAGAGGTCAAAGGTTGAAGAGGAAGAAACTGATTCTGGGTCTCAACAGATGCACTGATAATCTGAAAAGTGTGGTGTGCTCCTAACGCACATTAATGCTGCTGTAGAACCTAGCCTGCTTCGACCAGAACCAGAACCTCCCTGACCTGCTGCTGGATCACAGTAACATTCACACCACACTTTTCAGATTTTTCTTTGTTAGAACTACAAATCTTTTCCTTCCTCTCACCATTTGAGCTCCGCTCTGCTGGTCCAGCACAGAAAGCTAGTCTGGTTCTGGTCAGCCCGGTTCCACTGGACCGGGTCAGACGGCCTCTTGTCTCTTGCAGGAGCATCAAGCTGTGGGACCTGGAGAAGTTCACCATGGTCGGCTCTCTGGAGGGAGACACGTCTGCCGTGAGGTGAGCTCCATCAGCCTGACCTCTTACCCCGCCCTGTATGCCGCGATGACCTCTGACCCCTCCTCCAGGTGCCTGCTGTTCAGCCCGGATGGCTCCTGCCTCTACAGCGGCACCTCGGACTCCCTCCGGGTTTTCGGCTGGGAACCGGACCGATGTTTCGACACAGTTCCAGTCGGCTGGGGAAAAGTATCGGACCTGGCCGTCTGCAACCAGCAGCTGGTGAGTAGCCCCGCCCCCTCCTCAGCGTGGCCCCGCCCCTTCCTCAGCCAGTGTCTCTAACGGCGCCGTCTCTGTCCGTCCCTCAGATCGGCGTGTCCCACCAGCTGTCCAGCGTCTCGTCCTTCGTGGTGGACCTGAAGCGGGTGAAGCGGAGCGGTGGCGCCGTGATCCAGGGTATCGTCCGGGACGACCGGCCGCTTACCAATCCAGCGGAACCCAGGGCGGCGGCGCTGCGGCGCAACTACGACAGACCCGCCACTGCCTGCAGCTCCCACAGGTCGGCAGCGGGGGTCGCCGACCGTCTGGGCCTGTGATGTCATGAGGTTAACAACCGATGTGATGTCATCAGAATGAAGCGCTCGGACACCGATAGGCGGAGCCCCGATGGAGAGAGGCGGAGCCAGAGCGAGGACGAGGCGGAGGACAAGCAGCCGTCGGCAGAGATCCACAACGCCGACGACTACAGAGAGATCTTCCAGCCCAAACACGCCATCTGTAGGTGGAGCAGAGCAATTACCCCTTGCGAGGCCACGCCCCTTCAGATGCAGGCTCCGCCCCTCACTCCACTCACATACACCTAGTGAAGCTGTCATGTTCCTGAGTATTCATTAGAATATGAAAGTATCAATTAGTATTAATTGGACTATCAATTAGAATATTGTTCTGGACTATAGAGCGCACCTCACTATGAGCTGCACCACAAAGTTTAAAAAAAATCTGGAAACATGCATATAAAAGCCGCTGCTCTCGGTTTTCCACAAGAGGGCAGCAGAGGGCTGCGTCTCTAACGCCGAACCATGGATTCGTTCTCACTGAGCGGCTGTCGATCTGTACTGCCAGATCTTCAACCCTCAACCTAAAAGCTGCATCATATCAACGTCTTCCTGATGTTTCCATGATGAGGGAGGATGAGTTTGACATTTCTCCATCATGCCTGCTGCTAGCATGTGCTTGTTCTAAATGAAAATCAGCACTTTCTTCTTTGATTTCCAATTTTGACTTCCAATGATTCACTTCCTGCTGAAGAGCAGGAAGTGAATCCCCCTGGTGGTTGAAGAAAAATCCACAGAAAAGCCACACCGGGCTACAAGCCGCATGGTTCAATGAGTGGAAAAACGTAGCGGCTTATAGTCCGTAAATATGGTACTAAAAATTCTTCTAACTAGCTGTTGCTAGGTAACACATCTACCTGTTGCTAACCATCCAGGTCTGTTTGTCTCTCAGCTCGAACTCCTCCCAGGATGTCAGAGCCGTTTCCAGCTCCTCCTGAAGACGGTGAGTCTTCCTGGAACTCAGCTGCTGCTCAGTAATCTGATTACTTCCTTCCCCAGGCAGAGCCTCACCTGCCCGGGTCAGGGGTCAGGAGGGGGGTTCTGCTGGCCGGTTAGGTCCGATTCAGCAGAAAGAACCCAGCTGTGGTAATAGCCCTTCACAATAAAAGCGGGGCTTGTTTGTAATTGTTTCCTGTTCCTGTCAGAGAGCGTGGCGGCCGTTGGCCGGCAGCTGAAGGACATGATGCTGCCGTCTCCTGACAAGCAGCAGGTCAGTGAATGCAGCATCATCTCTGCAGCCCCGCTCTGATTGGACCACAGACATGTGACCTCACTGCTCTCTCAGGCTCCGCCCCTCGCCACCTCCACCCCTGTCCAGAGGGTCGAACCCACAGTTGTCGCCGTCACCAAGCCGTGTAGCCCCGCCCCCGGCAGCCAGTCTGCCCCGCCCACCAGGCCGCCACCGTTGCCGCGGGTGATCCCGAGCAGCCGCAACGAGCCGCTGGGACTCAATGTGGCCGACTTCCTGCCGGTGAGCTTCCCGGTTCCTCTGAACCATCAGAACTTCCTGTTAGAGCTGCTAACCATGTCTGGCTGCAGTCCCCAGCCAGCCACCGGGGCGGCGCTCTCACAGACGATGGCGCTCTGGCACAGATCAACAAAGGTCATGACACCATGTGTGTGATGCTGAGCAGCCGCCAGCGCAACCTGCAGACGGTCCGGTCCGTCTGGACCCGCGACGACGTCAAGGTGAGCCGCCGCCAACCACAGTAATCCGATTACTTCCTGTCCTGACACTAAGGACCGTTCGTCTGCGCAGAGCGCTCTGGACGCTGCCGTGTCCATGAACGATCTGTCCATTGTAGTGGACGTCCTGAACATCGTCAACCTGCAGCCGTGAGACACACACACACACACACACACACACACACACGTTTGTCTGGCTATCTTTGTGGGGACTTTCCATTGACCTCCATTCATTTCTACAGCCTAAACCTGACCTTTACCCTTTTCCTAACCCTAACCAAAACTCAATTCATACCTTAGCCCTAACTCTGACCCCTGACCCAAAAACAGGGTTTCCCCTCATGGGGACCAGGCTCCGGTCCCCACAAGGAGCAATTGGTCCCCACAACGTAGTATATGTCAGGAAAATCGTCCCCACAAGGTATTACAAACAAACGCACACACACACACACACACACACTCTTGCCTTGCTGTCTTGGTGGGACTTTCCATTGACTTCCATTCATTTCTACTGATCCTTATCCTAAACAAAACTCAATTCACATCTTAGTCCTAAATCTGACCCCTGACCCAAAAACAGCGTCTCCTCTTGTGCGGAGTGTTTGCGCTCCATCCTTCCTGGGAGCATTTGGGTCGGAACCAGCAGCTTGTGGTTCTGTTTCAGCTCCTTGTGGAAACTGGACCTCTGCACCACGGTTCTCCCTCAGATCGACAAGCTGCTGCAGAGCAAATACGAGAGGTGAGACCCAACCAGAACCAGAACCAGCTGGTGGGTCTGGGTCAGGACCAGAACCTGACCCTGGTTCTGTTTGCAGCTACATGCAGACCGGCTCCACGTCGCTGAAGCTCATCATGAAACATTTCTGGACTCTGATCTGCGATACGCTCAGGGCGTCGCCGGCGGTGGGGGTGGACATCACCAGGGAGGAGCGGTGAGTCACCTGCAGGGGGCGGCACAGGGCCACGGCCCACCTGTGACCTCTGACCTCTGTCTGCAGGCACCAGAAGTGCCGGGAGTGCTGCCGCTACCTGAAGAACCTGAGCAACGTGGTGAAGAACCGGGCCGGCCAGGCCGGTCGCCATGGCAGCGCCTTCAAGGAGCTGCAGCTGCTGATGGCGCCGCTGGACGAGGCGCTGTGACCCACTCTGGACCCGACCAGAACCGCTTCGGATGGAACAATGTTTTCCTGTTTCAATGTTGGATAAAGCTCCAGAACCGGGCCGGAGCTCCAGAACCGGGTCTGTTCAGTTTGTTTTATTTCTGCGGTTCAAACTTTTTCAAATTAAATCATTTCCAGAACTTCAAAAGAACCTTTGAATTGAACCGGATCAGAACCGTTCATGAAGCAGCAGCATGGTTCTGCTTATCGACCCGTTTGGCCCGGTCCGAATCAGTGGGGCCCGACAGCAGATCAGAACCTCTGCACCCGAGAGTTCAGTAACCCGACATATTGCAGCATGCTGCCAGCTGATTGGCTCATTATGCACGAAGCTGCTCCATGATTGGACGGCAGGAACCGGTCGGATCGGCTGATTGGCCGATAGAGCTGTGAAAGGAAAACACTGGAAGTTCTGCAACTGAAGATTAATCTGGATTATTACTTCATAAACTGTAATCCCAGAGTGAGAATCTGATTCTTTCGGGTCGTTTATAGAAATTCAAAGTTTGTTTTTTTAAATATTCTGACGAAAAGCTGCAGCTGGCAGCATCCAGGTGTCTCACCTGTCCAGGTGTCCGTCTCTCCCAGGAACTGGCTAACCTGGACAATTTAGTTTTATTTTCCATAAATAAAGTTTTTCCTGAGTTTTTTCCGTCTTGCTGAAATGTTTTTTTCTTGTAGGAAAACATTTAGCAGATTAATCTGGAGCTACAACCAAACCATCAGAACGTTTCAGGAAGTTTAATAAAAACATTTAGAAAACAATCAGACAGATGGACTGGATCCCGGCCGACTCTGGAGCAGAACCACTCCAGAGTCCAAACCCAAATGAGATCCAACCAGATCAGAACATTTACAGGTCAAAGTTCAACTAAATAAAAACAGTTCAGGCAGCGGCCTGCGGGGGCGCTGCTGGGAAACAACCTCAGAGTAAAGTGCAAAAACAGAAGGAATTCTGAGGATTCAGTTCTTTAGAGAGGAACAGTTCAGTTCAGGAGGAAGAGTCTGCTCTTCATCGTCTGCTACGTCACGTCAGAACTCCTCACAGTCCAGCAGCAGTTCTGGTCCGGTTCTGTGAAGTCCGGTCCAAGAAACAGAAGTACTGTCTGTTGTGGTGACGGCCGGGTTCAGTCCAAATCCCGGGCGTCTCCCTGGACGTCCCGCGTTTCTCAGGCGTTCAGTTCAGCTTCAGTCGTCCTGTAAACAGAAACCTGGTCAGAACCTGATTCTGATCCAAAGAAACGCATCCAGTCAGGAACACAACCCGACCCGCAGCGGCTCTTCCTCCCGGCCAGCAGGGGGCGCCATCGGAGCCCCGCCCACCACAGAAACCTCCCAGCATCCTCGGCACCGCGCAGCTCCATATGTTCATCAGTAAACTTTATCGGACCGGACGTCCAGATTTATTCCAGATTATCTCAGAATGGAGTCAGATTATGGGATGTTTCCATCAGACTGGCTGCAGCGCGGAGGAAGCAGAAACATTCCCAGCATGCATCTTGCCAGCAGCAGCGTGGGCTCAGTTCGCCCTGCGCAAGGCCTGACAGGCACACACACAAGCTGCAGGGGGTGGAGACAACACAGGGCACCATGCCATGCTGAGGTCGCCATGCCGACCCCAACCTACCTGCCCGCCGTCTCCTAGCAACGGGCCGGCTCTGTCTACCTGTCTGTCTGGAAACCAACCAATCAGAGCACAGAATGAAGACACAGAGGAAGAAGGGCAGACGGACAGCAGAGGCGCTCCGTCTCTGGGTCCGCTCCGACCTGCAGCCAGGAGGCACAGCTCAGTTCCCACAATGCACTGCAATACCCACAAAGCACTGCAGGTAGCCCGCAGCAGGCTGCTGGAGCATTTATTAAAGTTGGATGAAAATAAATGAAAGAAGCTCAGACCTGACAGGACACAGTCTGTAAAAGAATGAGAACCTGACTTCCTGTTTAGATAGTCTACAAAATAAAAGCCTCTTTAAGTGAACTTTATTCAATCTGAAAAACCAGGATGAAGATCATCTTCAAACGTTCCTGTTTTTACTCTGGACATAAATAAATAATCCACTTCAATCTAGAAACATGAAGGAATGCGAGGAGGTCAAAGGTCAACAGAGGGGTGTGTACCTGCAGCCAGCTGCGACTGGGAGCGCCTGCGGGATCCGCTGGGCGTCCTGGAGGCCGAGGACAGCGTAGAGCCGGCGCTGCTGGCCCGGGAGATGGGGAGGGGCGCCGGCGTGACGGGCGGAGAGTCCAGCTGGAGAACCAGAGAGTTTATGATGAAGATCAGCTGCAGCAGGCAGCATGCACCGCTAGCAGCAGAGATGAGCCTTAGCTTAGCATTTTAGCACACTTTGAAAACATTTAGCACACATTCTGTTCAAGAATTTATCCAGAAATTTTAAATTAGAGGACGTTAATTTACTTTGCTCTTATTTCAGCTGAATAAAGTTCAACGTCTGTCGACATTTTGCTTTTAGACTAAAAAAAACAGCTGAAGTTGAAATGTTCTGCACTACTGTGGCCATTGCTCATGATAATCACGAGTGCATTAGTATTAGAATTTATGTAGAACCGATGATGCTTGGATTCTGCTAATGCTATAGCGCTAATTAATGTTAGCATTAATTCCATTAATGCTAACATGCTAGTGATTAAAATTTGTTCCACTATTGCTAAAGCACTAATGATGAACGATTAAGGCTTTAGCAGATCCAATGCTATTGCTTTGTGCTTTAGCATTAGCACAAGTAGCTTTTCACTGGTTCTGCTGCGTGTGAGGTGGCGGATCCCGGTGCGTACCTCTAGGCTGTCGTGCGTGGGCGAGGACGACGTGGACGAGTTCTCGTGTCTCTTGGACGAAGCGGCAGAGTTGAGCTCCACGCTGCGAACGCGCTGAGCAAACTTCAGCGAACACACCGACTCGCTCACGTTGCCAGGCAACGGAGACACCTGCAGGAACAGCAGCGGTGAGTAGCGGGACGGGACTGCGGCGGCCGGGTTCTGGCCTCTGGACTCACCTGGACCATCATCAGGGTCTTGCTGTCTCCGCTCAGAGAGTCCTGCAGCAGGTAGGTGAGCCGCGAGTTCCTGAAAGGGACGTGGGCGTGTCGGCTGCGCAGCGCACTGATGACATCACCCAGCGCCGACAGCGATTTGTTGATGCACTGCGCTTCCCGGAGCCGGCTGCCCTCTGCTCCGGACTTCCCAATCCGCTCCGACCCAGCCAGGTCCACCAGGTTCAGCTTCCCTGAACCAGAACGATGAAAAACACAGAATCATTTTAACGCCAAAAGATCAGAATGAATGCTAACAAAAGCATGGAGAGGCGCTTCATTCAAAACAAACTCAAAAAGCTCAAGAAATAAGTAAGAATGTAAAAGTTATCCTTAAATATTTGTTCACATTTCATTCAATAGTATTTAATTTTTTGACTGAAATTGCTTTCCATACAAAACGGTCTTACTGACCGTCTCTGATTGGTTACAGTAACTCTAATCTGATTGGCCAACAGCAGCAGAGGGCGGAGCTAAAGCAGGATCATAATGATGTTTGTTCGCGATTCTCGGTGGGAATTTTGGCCTTTCTGGCCTTCCGTAGGCCAGACAGATGGATCCGGACCACCGGTGGTCAGAAAGCAGAACC